TACGCCGGGCTGTTGAGATTTATTAAATATGTATTATGATAAATGATTTTGTTTACTTTTGTAAGGTATTTTTAGTTGGAAATTATCAGTATGTTGAAACTCAATTGTTAGAAATGGATTTCTAGGGGAGCTTTGAAGTTATATATGTGAATTAAAATTTGCGATTCTAATGATGGGGAATTTTTGATAGAGATGTTCTATTTCTTGATACAAGGGGATTAGAAAATGAAAAACTAATTGCTGAAGTTTTATGACAGATGTATAGACATTATCATAAATATCATTATTATCTACAACTTTTAAAATGAGATGAACAAATGTGTTTCATCGGAATATTGAACATGATCAATTCTTGTATCTTCTGAAACGCATACATTTGCTGATGTTCCCATAAATTTTCCATTCAATACTAATATTGTTGTTTGTTGTTATTTCATTTTGTTGTCTTTTTGACTATGGACTCATCAAAACTGCATAACTTCAAAAACCAAATGGCTTACTTATTTACTATTCTAATAAGTTGCTATTATAATTAATTGATTTTTTATATTTTATTCTAATTAATTGAAGTATTGTAACATAATCTATAGCAATCGCCCCAGTATCATCGATCATTCCATTCCGATCTCTTCCTCTGCCGTCGCACGATTTCCATTGCATTTAACATTGCACCGGAATACAATTAGAATCTTCACGAACAAAGTCATTTCTTCGATGTTTTGTTCGGAATCTCGAATGTAATAGTTTTGCAAATAATACGGCCAAGTATCGCATTCATCCGGGATAGGAAAATTCATAATTCGAATCAATAGATAGATGCCTGGACAATGGATCGTGATGACTTCGATATATCATTTGAAGAATAGTTGGGAATAGGCTTAGAAATATATTGTAATAGAATGATGGTCTAGTGCAGATTTAATTTATGGGAAACGCTCGGACATTGTATGATGGGTATTCAGATGAGAAATGTAGTAATTAGTCGTATTAGCAGCGTGCCAATGATTAAACAATACATACATACATTTGTTGAATAGTTAGATTTTATTCACACATTGGTATGATTTGGCACAACAAAGAATGCATTTTCAAATCTTTGGTAAATCTTCTTCATAACAAGAATTTCATCCGATACGGTATTTATGTTTATCAATTTTACTTAGTTTTGTAGGCCTTAATTTAGAAGAATTAATTTGTTATTTATAGCTGGTGATTTGGTCAATGATCAATTTATGCTTCTATTTTATACATTAAAATAACCGACCATCATAACAGACGACTAATTTTGACTTCTCAAGTACTACCAAAATATTGCTGATGTTAGCTTTATTTGTCGGTTTAAGATTTACTTCGTACACAACGTCAATTCCCTCTCAAGTGACTAATGTCAATTGGTATTTATCCGATTTTGTATTCTCTAGAAATCACTCACCATCAAAAGTTTTTTTTTGCATTTGTGGTATCTCCATCAATGCATCGTAGCGTGTATCCCTTTCTAGTCCATTAAAGGTTATTTTTATTCGCGCTTTGCACTTTTGCATCTTTCATTGTGAGTATTTCATCGAGCGACTTGGATATTGGTGTGTATTTTTTGCTCGATACAAAACAGAAAAGGAAACTTTAGAGTCGAACTTGAAGTATTGCGCCGCTCCTCATAATATAATAAGGCGTTTCTATTTGACATGAGCGGACAAGTTCCTTACTAGGGAACCCGACATATCTCACGTCGGGATCTCTGAATACTAAATATATACATCGACGTTTTAGACGTTGCCGTTGATTGCAATCGTCGTAGTCACATTGGACTACAATGCACCGAATCAATATTCCAAATTCGAAAAGATAGATGTTTATTTATATTGCCAAGAGAAGACAGAATACTCTTGAATTCGTTAACTGCTTCTTAAATTAATTACTACTATATAGCGGTCTTGATTATCTGTGAAAACAAACTTCTCATTGGCCATCCAACCAACCAAACTAAAATACTTATCTTAAGTGTTTTTTCGGAAAATATTTATACATTTACTATTATATATTTAACCCTTTCGACTCGGATGCCGCCGCTCCGGCGGCAAAATTCATATGAATCTCGAAATTCGCGAGTGGAAAGTGTTAAGACTCGAGGGTAAAACATGAAGAACCATTGAAACATTTTGTTTGAATAATTTTGAATCATATAAGTAATTTTGATGCGAACTAATTATTTATTTATTCAGTCATAAGCAAGCGGTAATCTTTAATAATAAGATGGATTTTGTCGAGCCAAATTTTATTTTAAAAAATATCACCTTCTGGTCATTTTCTCTATCTACTTATTATTCTCACGTTTTTTGTACTGACAATGTGGTAATCGTTTAATCTACCACAAATCTAATTACACTAATCTATTACCATCGTGTATAAATTTCAATTTTAGTATTCATCAATATTTAATTAAATCTTTGGATATATTCCTGCGTTTATATCACCAAAACAATTAATTATTATTAAAAGATCATTATTTCCGGACGGATTATATGATAAATTCCAACAAAATTGTCCAGCTATTGTGGTGAGGTGTATATTGAACTTTTTGTTAACTTTCACTGTGGTGTGTTCATTTATTCGAATCATTACTCCCTAATTATTGTGTATTTTCTTTTTATGTCATTTCATTAAGAATAGAAAGCTCTGGAAACTTTAATGCCGTTAGAATTATAACATTTGTTATTTTTGTTGCATTGATAATAGATAGAAAACTAATTCTTTTTACGAATAGACAACTAGAGATTATTTTCTTCAAAGTTTGGCAGATGACTACAAATTGTAAATGTAATACTATCATAAAAGTTTTCATAACGCTCACTATACATAATTTTAACATTTTAGAAATATTCATATGAATCCTAAAGTCGAATCTGGAAATAATCATAGTGAAAGGTTTTTGATTTTTACAAAACATTTATAAACTGATTTCTGATATTGGAAAAATAAAATAAAGTGAATATTTGGTTTACATTTATTCTTGCTTAAACTTTTAGAGAAAAACATTCAGAATAACAGCATAGTATTTTAACATTTAGAGTCGCAGTACTTGGTGGTTTTATTACTTTTATGTTTAAAATGAGATTTATCTTATTTCCGCATTTTGAAATAATTTAGTTCATTTTGAAATTTTGTACTTAATTATTAAGTACAAGTAATATTTCATTTTACATTTATACGCACTTTTAGATTTGTCAATTTATTTATTTCAAATGAATTCATTTTATTTCAAATTATTGATCATAATTTTTTTTTCATCTGATGCCCGATAAAAATATCCTTTCTTCTGTATCTCATTACAGGACAATATAAGTATTTAAACGCAGACCCTTATGTCATTAAAACAATCAAGCGTTAAAAATTCAACAGAAATAAAACGAATCAAAAAAAGTAACTAGTCCGAAATGAAACGGTGCCGGTGCGAGAGCGGTCCCTCCCGTCTCGGCCCGGTCGAGTCCTGCGAGGACGAAAGAGAGGCCGAATGCGATTCCCTGGAATCGAGGGCTGTAATTACAATGGCGCGCGCTTCACACGCACCAGACGTTGCCGCAAAAAATAAGGATAAAAACCTTTTAATTTATAGGAGCGAGGCGGCCTGAAATTCAAAATGGCGAATGAGAAATATCGATAAGCGTCCATTTTAATAATATGAAACTTACAATATTTTCTTGATTTTTGGCTTATAGTTTATGTAACGATTCATTGACTCATCGAAGACATTGTGGCTAATTCTGGTAACTTCTTATAAAGATTTGTCTACGTCTAAAATTGAAACTAATAATATTTGTATAAAGGATAAATAGATTATTTAAATGCCCATCGACTTATTGAAGACTTTGTAGATATTTCTAATGTTTTCATACTTTTTGATAATTTGTTTATACAGGTTTGACCACGTATAAAATAGACATTTATGTTTGAACTGATATATAAATATTGTTACAATATAAAACTTATAATATTTTATTTATCTCTATCAATCTTTGGATTATTGAAATGCTCTGTTTATATATCAAAGTTTTTTTTGTCATTTCTAATGCCCCATATATATTTACCGACATAATAGTCGGTCTGTATAGATTTGTCTTCGTTTAAAATTTAATTTTAAATATAAACATGATTTAGAACGTGCACCTGATATTTTGTGGAGTTCTCTACAAAAACTATCACTTACTCCATTTTGCTTTTTTAACCCTTTGAATTCTATTACTCAAATTTATATATTATTACCCGAATTGTGAAAGAATTAAATTTGCAAAATGTAAACGATATTTGCGTTATCAGACTGCGTAATATATTTAGTAAAAAAAACTTTTATGCAATAAATGGACCCTTCAAAAATGTGTTGAAAAAAAATTATATATAAAAATTCCAGATCATACATCTATTGTTTTTATCACTTATTATTTCTATTGATTGACTATAACCGTAACACTTTTATGTATTTTTATTATTCTTTTTTGTTTCGTTCTGTATCTATATCTACTGTAAATAAACCGAACTAGTTCGAATGTGTTGCTAAATACATGTCAGCGTTTCTATACATAACAAATAACCAAAAAGAAGAATATATGTATTGAGAGTCTATTTGTTTGTATAGTAATTTGTATAGAACTCGTCTTACCTGCCGCATATATCGGCTGTGTTGATTTAATTAATCGTTGACATATTACATGTCATTCCGGTAGCCGAGTTAGATTACCGCTCGAAGATAAAGAGCTTTTTGTTTTATTTGACATAACAATATGCGGAATCGTTTCACTTTAATAGTTATTCGAATTATGAATCAATTTCATCAATTGATCGAATATTTAAGTATTAGCAATTATGAAGTCAATATAATACATTATTTCAAATAGTAGGTATAACAATATATATAAGCTCAAACTTTTTTATAGTTGATTTCAAATAACTATTTTGATAATCAACTTACTTCTTGACTTTATTTTAATTCTATATTTTGCTTTCTTTAGGTGAATATGTGCTGAAACAGTTGCCGGAAGGATCCTCGCTGCCTCTGGAGGACTTCTTATTGGAGGAAGCCTTGCAGTTGGCCGGCTTGGAGGATCCGCAGGACGAATCCCTTCAGGTATTTAATGAAATTTGAATTAAAATACACTATTTGTCTATTTGCAATCTTACTTGAAAGAAATTTCATGTGTTTCTATTATTTTAGTGTAATTTTTTTTTAATAATCCATGTTTTTTATTTAGACTGAGATCAAAAGCGAGGCCACCAAACAGGCGGAATCCAGCGACATCGCATCGGAGAACCAAACCGCTTGTCCGTCTTCTCCGAGCTGTAGCAGCGAACGGGGCACTTCCACGACCAGTGGCGTTGTCAACGGTAATTATTAACAATAATTAATTATTTATAATATTTGTTTTTTTATATTGAAACTGTTTATAAAATTAATTGAATAGAAGGATGTTAATATAAACTATTTGAAATAGTATGAAGCTTTAAATTGTAGTGTTAGTATTTGTTCTAAAACATGTTTTCTGAAATTTCTTGATTATCTTTTTTTATTATTGTAAATTGTAACCTCAATAGAATGTATTTGAATCAATGTTGATAAAGATTATGATTCGAATATGCTTTTCTGATATATATTTTATTTTAAATTATTATAGCTACTGAAGAAGAGGACTTGGACCTGTTGTGCGACATGATTCAGACGGCTCAGTTCAACCATGCGCACCCGCGCTCTCACCCACTGCACCATGGTCAGTTGTCTGGAGCACACGCATTCTCCCAGGTAAGCTAAATAGAACTATTTACTATTTCATCCTTCAATGTATAAATTGAATATAACGTACAGAAATTAATTTGGTGATATGAATTACTTTGCTTTATTCGCTATAACTATAGTACTTTAGTATGTTAATTTATTCCTAAATTATCGCACTGTCCTTTTATTATTATGCTAGTCTCTGACTTTTGATGTTAAACTTGGAATTACCATTTGCGCAAAGTCTCTAATAAACTGATCCACTTTGTCAGATCTAGAGATAATGGCGTTAAAAAAGGTCTATTAATTCTTTTCCAAAACGCAGGTGAATTTCTTTGTAAAATCGTAACAGGTACCGGACTGACGAGCATACCTGATGAAATCTGTCAAATTTTTATGATATTAAGTAAACACTTTAAGAAAATCTCATCTTCGGCTTAAATAAATAGAACCGTTGCGCCCACTTGAAGTAACTATGATGAAATTATGAGTTTTTCTTTAACATGCACCAGATTCGTATGTAAATATTGATTTAGGAGAGTTTTGTGTGGACATGGAAAATATATGTAAGATGCAGATTAAGGATAACTACTGTTAGAAGATCTGATCTAAAACCAGTGATTGGTATTAAAATATATATTATGACGTTAATATTATAATATATCAAAATCATCGGTTTTTACGTTGCTTATAATACGTTCTATAATTTTACGTTTAACCATTTCAGTGGTGTTTACATGTAACTAGAAGGATCATGAACTTAAAAAATTTCTTTCTCTTAAAGCAACAACAAACTCATAAATCTCCCTCTTATTTAAATATATTCAGGTAACTCTTTCCCTGCTACCGTCGTCTATAAATTTGTCAATACTAATTAATCATTTTCATTGTTCGGGTGGTCAAGTCAATTCTTTGGTCCTTTCTCTTGGACCACAATCGCCTTGCAACTTCGCAACGCATTTGAATAATAATACAAAAAATCCTGCGGAATGCCGCAAACGATTTGCTTTGTTGAACACTCGAAGTCAGGTTTCGAATCCCTGCAGAGCGAAAGACCATCAATCGTTTTGCTTTCTCCGCTAATGGACTATTTAGTGGTGAAATATTAAATTGGCGGTTTTGTTAAAGGATTTATTTTTACTAAAAACATATGAAGTTAATATCAACGAAATTGCAAAAAAAATCTTAAGTAATTGATAATATTTTTTATAATTGTTAAATAGTATTTAAATCGATTTCTAATACCATTTCATCAATAGAAACCGCTGTATTCGAGCGTATGTGATTATGAACTGTATTTTAATTGCGGTTGTATACTTTTATTACGCACTGAGATATATCATAGGTCAGTTTGTGTAACACTAAAGAAGTAACACTATTTATAATGTCGGCACTTCATTAATAGTATTGTGCATTTCATTTTTATAGTTTTATTAATGGAGTTATTTGATTCTGCGTTTAACGGGTACCATTCGCATTTGTGTCATTAGGAAAACTTTCTTCTACTGTCGTTATTGGCACCTGTTCGGGATGAATTCAAAACATTTTGATGTCATTTTCAACTATGGCTGTTCACGGAACCTAATAGATGTTTTATGAGTTTTTTGTCTAAGATTAGAGAAACTGTTTTTATCAATACATAGCGCATTCTTTATTTACGACTTTTATAGTATTTTATACCCCTTAGTGTTTGTTTTATTAGCGGAACTGTTAATGATTCTACTGGAAGTTTTCGAAAATTATCACATTAATCAAGTTATTGTCAAGGTGAAATTTGTTACTTGCAAACCAAAATTTATATAATAACAGAGTCAAATTTATAAAATATAATTTTTGTTATTACTTCGTATGATGTTCGGTACCTCTGTCATGTTACCGTCATTTAGAGAGTAATTTAGAAGCACATTAGTAGTATATTACTATTTTTCACACCTTGGATCTATTATTTTACCGTCGTCATTCGTATGCGATAAAATGTCATAAATCTTTTACTTCCACTATAAAATTTAGAGGTAATCGATTTCTCTTTAAAATGGAAAATTACTAAAATTGTTTTTCGAAAGAACCGAATGTTATTCCGAAACCAAATGCGTATGCATGCATAAAAAAATCGATGGCAACAGTTGGTTGTCAGTTAAAAATGTTATAAAATAAATAGAGAAAAAAATGATTTCGAAGAAAATTGGATAAGTCAAAGACTTATTGACGAAGGAGCCGAGTCGTTTCAATATTTCGAGTGGTAACGAATGCATCTTGTGAACCACTCTTTTGTTGTTGGTTTAGGATATTGAAATTGTAATCACAAAATTCTTGACATATTTTTCACACCGCATATCGGACAGTGTATGGTATTATTATTTTTAATAATTTTATTGAGCATCATATAGGTTCAAAAGCGTCGGCAAATTGAAAACAAAGATTTTTATGGGTCAAGATGTTTTTCGGGATACAATTATATAAGTTAAATGTGTTGATAGAAATGACAATGTTGTTGTTTTCAATCTCAATTTCAATATTAATGTATTTTAGCGTTATATATTTTTTGCATACACTGAGGTTTGTTGCCTACATGTGGTGACATCAATTTAGAGGACATTTAATATACGTTGGGCATGAAAATGTTTTATAATATCTAGTTAATTATTCAAAAAATTATGTAGATAGCAAAATAATATAATAAGGGTTAGGTTATGAATGAATAAAAAATTTGAATTGACACGAGATAGCAATTGCCAAAACAAAAATATTACAATGAAACTTGTTTATAATTATACTTTTTTGGCCAGAGTCATTAATCTGTTGTTCTTTTTTGTTTTTACGCGTTGAAACAATATGCAAATATGTAACAATTTGTTGAGCGCTAGCGCGTGTTCCATGTCAATCAAAGAAAATGCGTTATATTAAAAAAAAAACGCCGCAATTGTTTCAACAGAGGTGATGACTGTTACATTGATTAATATCTCTCTCTTTACATTTATGAAAATGCACTCACAATCAGATCCCCACTAATATCTTTCATACATCAATCTGCAGTACTACAGAACAGAACAGAACAGAACGCGCTCGTCTACAGCTCGTTCATTATACGCTTCATGCTTCATGTATCAATACGTATATATAGATATTCTTTTATACGTTTATTCCCACCTGATACGACTAACTCGTCTCATAGAATTTGCCTTAGTACACATCGGTACGCGCATAAAAAATAATTATTAATCACCTGTATTCCATCACCTTTGTTTGTCAGTCGCGTAGCATCTACCGGCGAGCTTCAGTATTATATTGAACTTGCACCGGCGAGGTAGTTCGCGCTGCCGGGCACCCAGTCAGCGCTGCTGTCGGCCGATGGACAATGGACAATAACCGAATTTCGAAGGACATTCATTTAAATTTTCGTTATAATAACAATACTAATAATAATCTCGGTAATAACCGCGCGGATTGTGTATGTCTATCGTGCGTTTCTGATGACTTATTATAGATAATGATATATTTATTATATTGTGTAACGTGTGCGGCATTTTGACTGCCTCTATGAAACGGATACAACCGTTCGAAAAATTCATTGTTCGGCCGTGGATTTGTACTCTTTGTGTTAATAGTGCTTGACATGAATTGTTTTGGTTAATGTTTTGTGACGTACCTAAAATTTGAACTAAGTTTATTCATAACATGCAATTTTCATATGTAGTGATACAAAAGGTTAAGATGTGCTATGCTTACAAATATAAAGTGTTTGGATTATAGTATCAGGTATAGTAATAGTTTTGTAATCTCTTTGTACGAATTCACTCATTATGTCAATACTCATATCTATTAGCGTAATATCAAAATACAATCTGATGTTTCATATATATATATATATATATATATATATATATATATATATATATATATCTGCAGTACTGCAGATAAATAAAACTTAATAAAATTTGATAACTTATCTATCTTCTCTTTGACGAAAACGTAAATTCCGCAAACAAAAATATCTCATTATCTTGTAAACAGCCTTGTCAGATTAATTTTTGGTAGTTTTCGGGGTCATAAATTTATATCATCATGTACACAAATTTTAATTTGATAAAATCTACACAACAAATTTAATTAATCAGGGCAATTGATAACTTATATATTTTATGATGCATTATTTTTTTACTACAATAAAAGAGGTCACTTTGCATAAGAGTCAATTAAAATGAATAAATAGTGAGTTACTAAATAATCAATAAGAAATTATATAATGTATGACAAATCTAAACTTGTCTTATTTCAAGTCCAAGTTCTCCACAATGTTTGATAATGATCTTTAAGTCCGAATGTTTCATTCATAAAATTCAATTCAAAAATATTTCCATAATTAAAATACCGTCCAGAATCTACTGCGCGGATTTAATTTAATAGTTATTAGCCGCTAATTTCTTTCTAACGTTTGCCCTAAATTCGCTCGTGGCACTTTCCAAAGTCTCATTTTCAAAAGAGCCCTAACAAAAGCTTGAAACAATAGCCGCTTAAAACTTGAAAAGGATCTACGCCGCGCATTTCAATTTGCTTAACAATAAATCATTCTAATTATAAGTCCATCAATAATAGTTATCGGTGCCTATTGTATGGGATGTCTTTTTTATATAAATAATTTTTGTGCATTGATCAGAACAATAAGGTGTAATTCCAGCCAAATCAAGACTTTTGCTAGGTCTGTAGGTCACATACAAATTATGATTTATGATTGATGTCTTTCCAAATATTCAATCATACATCATGGCTGTCTATGAAAATATTTTTTCATCTTTTCTGTCGTATATAACGAAATGCATACGTTAGTGGAATTTTTTGTATGTTTATAAAAATACAAAATTTTGGTACTAGGCGGATGTCGATTGTGACCTTCGGTAGTGATTGGCGTCTTTATAACATCTTCTTATATAAATGTTTATATTTTTTATTCTTTGAAAACATTGGCAAAGGATTATAGTACCATACTTGCGCATGATCTTATATCTGGTATTAGATCATCCAACCAAACC